CTGGACATTGAGATGTCCTGTGCCTTGCTCAGAGAGGCCCCTGGGGTGCAGGCCTGGAGTGTGGTCCTCAGGCTACATCCTCCATGCTGAAGGAAGCATCCACTTCTCCTCTGCTCTCAAGACAGCAAGAGAGCTCTGTTCCTCCCCAGTTTTTGGAGGGCAGATTGCAGGAATAGGAACACTGTGGCCGAGGCTGATTGGTGGAGGGAGGTTCTTGCATGCTCTGCCTGTTGCTGCTCCTGCAATTTCTCAGACCACGGCTTTCTCTTGCAGCTTACTGCAAGAACTCTGTTGATGGCCTGTGGTACTGCTTTGATGACAGTGAGGTGCAGCAGCTGGCGGAGAATGAGGTGTGCAAGCAGACGGCCTACATCCTCTTCTACCAGAGGCGAACAGCCATTCCCTCCTGGTCAGCCAACAGCTCTGTGGCAGGTAAGTGCCCAGCGATGCCTCCGTGACATTCTCTGGCTGGATGGGCTGGGGGTTTCGGGATACTGGGGTTTCTTGCCCAGAGAGGCACCTTGTGCTGTGGAAAAAAAATCCCTGATGGAAAGAAGTGTTTTTGTCTGGTTCTTCTGGAAACCTATTGATGCTGGCTACTGAAAAGGTCTGCAGGACTCATTGGCATGCTGCCCAGATCACCTGCTTGCCCATTTGTTGCACAGACCATTCTCAGTTTCCCTTCAGTTAATGGCCTCAGTGTGTCCCATCTTTTTCTTCCCCTCACTTCAAAATCAAGGCATGGTGAGATAAGTCTGTTCTTTGCCTTGATGTTTTACACTTACTATGTGGTCGCTGATGGACTTTCTCTCCTATTCCAGTTTTCTTTCTCTCTGTCTTGTAACTCACTGAGCTTCTCTTTCTCCTTTCCTCCTCTCAGCCAGATCCCATTTAACTGTGTGCTGCTGGCCTGTCGCTGGGCTGAGTGTGTGTGTGTGTGTAACTGCTAAATGTCCCTCCCTGCACTAGATGCAAGCTGCAGAAGGACCCTAATGCCCACACTGGCTGGTTGCTGCCTCTGCCCACTATTGGTAGCACCCTTTAGTTCTGGTAGCTGCATTTTTGGGGCCATTTCCTACTTGCACAGAATGTTCTGCCTGTCCCAGTTGTCCTGTGAGGGCTTGGGGCATGCCTTGCCATCCTCTCCTCTCATATCTGTTGTCTGAGCCCAGCACCCTTCTCCTTCCACAGGCTCTACAAGCTCCTCATTGTGTGAGCATTGGGTGAGCCGGCTTCCCGGCAGCAAGCAGCCCAGCATTGCGTCAGCAGCCTCATCGCGCCGAACGTCCCTGGCTTCCCTCTCGGAGTCTGTGGAGCTGATGGGGGAGAGGAGTGAAGATGATGGTGGGTATGAGGGGCTTCGGGGGTGGAGGTGGTTGCCCTGGACTGGTGTGCATGGGCTCTGGGCTTGCAAAGGCCTGGTCAGGCTGAGTGGTGTGCTCTTCTGCCTTGTCTCAAGGGTCTGGATTCCTCCAAGGTAGCCCAGCCACTCACCCTGGAAGGTGTAGGGAGGCGGAAGGATCCAGTAGCCCA